ATTATATGTTAAGTGCGAGTACGCTAGAGCATAATAGACATTCACTAGGCACGCCATATCAACCATATTTTTTATTTTATAAATTGCAAAGTAGCAACTGTTAAGTTTCGAAGTAACATGGTCAATATGCTGTTGCCACGAAAAAGAGCCATCGACACTAACTCCTAGGAACTTTACATTAGTTTCCAAATATAATTTCGATTTAGCCAGCCCTGAACTCAATATTGAATCCGGCAGTTTCTTTTTACTAAAATACAAACATTTTGTCTTAGCAATATTAAGAATCATACCATTGTCTGTACACCAAGACTTAAAAGCACACGTTACAATACTCCACACGAGCTAAGAGTTCCCCAGTAGAAGGTGCCGCCACAACCATTGAAGTGTCATCAGCAAAGATTGTAATATTATTCCTTGTTATATAGTTTGGCATATCATTCATAAAAATAATGAATAATAAGGGCCCCATCACAGATCCCTGGGGAACACCCAGCTGAACAGGGTACTCTTCAGATAACTGATCTCTAACCCTAATAACTAACCTCCTGTGATCCAAGTAGTTGCAGATTACATTTAAGGTAGCTCCGCGAATGCCCAAAGCTGATAATTTGTCTTTTAGAAATCTGGCGCTGACAGTATCAAACGCTCTCTGTAGATCAAAAAACAATCCTATAACTAGGTTACCGGCGTTAAGTTCATTGTAAACGGCTTGCATAAAATGCGTAGTTGCATCTTCAGTTGAAAAATGAGGGCGAACACCAAATTGGCAGTCAGTGAGTAATTTATATTTCGACAAAAAATTTCGAATTCTAAACACAATTATTTTTTCTAATAATTTTGAGAGGGTACTTAAGAGGCTAATTGGCCTATAATTTTCAACATTTGCTTTATCTCCTTTTTTAAATAAGGGAATGACGATAGCCAACTTGAGGGCATTTGGAAAGCAACCAGTATTTATTGCCAAATTAAAGACGAAGCTTAACGGATGTGCTACTGTGGTTGCAATATGCTTCAGAATTTTAGTCGAGATGTTATCAGAGCCCATCGAATTTGACATTTTAAGATTGTTAATGTAATGTACTATTTCCTCCGGCGAGATAGGATCGAATACTATAGAATTTTGGACATGGATACCTGTCGTGCACTTTGCGGATGGCGTTTGAAAATGTTGGTTAAGTTTATTTTTGGCAACGTTTGCAAAAAACTTTCCAATGAAATCAGCAACCGTTTTCGGGTGACTAATTTCCTCTCCTTTAATATCAAGACAGATTTCATTAGTGGTGTTTTTCTTATTACGATTTAATTGAGAGTTTACAATACTCCAAACTTTTTTGGTCGTATTGTTAGCTGACTCTATTTGTTTCGAAAAATATCGTTTTTTATACCAACTAATTTTGTGGTTGAATTCTTTTTTGCGCTTTTTGTAAACAGCATAGCAGTTAGGGTCATTTAACTGTTTAACCAATACAGATTATTTAGTTTATCACTCTCAAGTTTTAATGTTTCACAAAACCATGGGTTTTTATTCTGTTTGTGGGCTTTATTTGTTGAAACAAGGGAACAGAATTTGTTAATGTTCGTCTGTAAAATATGTATAAATGACTCCAATGCTTCATCTGCATTGGAGTGACTATACAGTTTATTCCAAGTTTCTTCTATTAAGTGGTTTTTTACAATATTTAATTTCTTTTGAGAAAAGTGTTGTTTGGACTTTGGACTGTTTTGCTTATCTCTCGAGGTATTTACATTGAACTCGATTATTTGGGCTAAATGATCGGCAATGTTCGGGTTAACATTTTTAACTTTATAGGAAGTAAGATTTGTCACTATATAATCAATATCCGAAGAACTAGTGCGATTGTTACAATTAGTATAAGTTCTAGTTGCAAGAAGGACAGAAACACTTAAATTAAAAGAATCAAATATATCACACAATAATAGTTTTTTAACACTGTTCGAATTATAGTCAACATTAATATCCCCACACAAAATTAAATTGTCACTTTTTTTCAAAACATGAGCAAGACATAATGACAGTTTATTTAAAAAAAGATTATTGTCGCCTCCTGGAGGTCTGTAAATACATACCACACAGAACGAGATATCACAAGCACTTATTGTCATCGCCGAAATTTCAATGGATCCTTCAACGCTGAAGGAGTGGTCATAACGGAGGTCCTCGACAGATTTGAATCTTGATAGCATATCTGTACGCATAAAAATAGAAGCTCCCCCATGCTTCATTTTTACTCTGCAAAAGCTTGCAATAATAGAGTAGTATTGAGGTGCATAAATCGGAAGATCTCCACTCGATGCCCAGTGTTCCGTAATACACATTATGTCTAGTAAGTTTGCGTTCACTAAAAAGTGTTCCAGTAAATTAATTTTGTTTCTTAAACATTGCACGTTTACATGCCCAAGTGATAGGCGACACATTACATTATTGATATCTGCACTACATTTAAAACTGGGCATGTTGCTGCCTTCGAAAAAAACGAAACTGTTTTATGAAAACCCCCGCGGGCCAATTTTCACCTTTGTACAGTTCATCAATTAATTCGATATCGGCTCCTACTTTGAATGCGATGCTGCGCGCATCGTCCCTTTTGGGTAGCTGTTCAACTTCAAATTGTGAGTTCGGAAACTTCTCAGTTAAATAATTTTTAATTTTGGAATTTTCCGTACCTAAGGCTACTCTACCCACATACAGCCAAGCACGTTTTTGAATTGCGCAAAAACCGGGTCCATTTAGACTAGGTTCAGCTTTACCAATAACCAGGTTTTTTGGTTTATTGTCCCCTGTATTATTAATATTTTCTGATTTGTCTATACGTGATTTCCTATCACAACGTACAGCAGATGGGCTTTGCAATATTTTATCACGCGTCACACCGCTAGCCACGGTTTCACTATAACTCAACACGTTAGGATTAGCTGGTTTAGAGGTAATCTTTTCTGACTTTGATTTATTCGCACCAACCGTAATGTTTGACCCTTTACTAGATAATAACTTAATCATGTCCACATTACTCTCTTTTAGTACTTCTTTTGACAATAAGCGATTACTTGATAGATTTTTAAATTCTCTTTTCAACGAGCTATTATAACATAAGATTGAAAATAAGATACCAGTTATATCAACGGTTTTTATATTTTAATCAAGTAGGCTGTGATGAATTAAAAAAAAACAAAACAAAATCTATTCGAGCCAACAACACAATGAAAATAATTACATCAGATGTTTAAAAAATCAGGGGCGCACTCATGAGAAGGGGGTTTGGGCATTACAACTCCCTCCAAAATTTTATATAAGTAGGCCTAGAAAAATTTTGATTTTTATAACAATCGCTTATTGACTATCTTATTATCCATACTTACATACCTACAAATGGTGGTATAACTACAAACTATCCCTTCGAAAAAATGTCATGCCATTATCCAGTTAAACACATTTCAAGACGCTTTGCTTTATTTTACGCAATGCATTACCATTGATGCATTGTCCCAGGTCACATTTTGTAGGTCAGTAGGTGGTTTATCCGCAAGAATATCGAAACTAACAATTTTACCAGTTCGAGTATATGGACAGATGAATCTTATTTTTCTAACTGCGGAGTGTTCAAATCGACATAATGAACACTATACTCGTCACAGGAAAACCTACATGTTGTAGTTTCACGCCGAAATCAAGTAATATTTTTTTAAATTAATGTGTTTTATGGCATAATGGGAAGTCATGTAATTGGACCAGTAATCTTCGTTGGATCTTTAACTGCTCACCATGACTTACAAATTCTCCAATAAACTACCTTAAAGGATTTTTGTCGACAACATGTTTCGAAGAAAGAGTTGGTTTATGCTACCTACCAACAAAGCTGGCTGCTGAGGTCACAATTCACGAATTATGTACAGTACATTAAATTATAAAAGTAAGTACTAATTAAAAAAATAAAAGTAAAGTGGAACTAGCTACCACTACAATAATAAATCATCAATGGCAACACGTCGCCTAAATTAAACTGTCTTGAAGTGTGTTTCACTAATAATGGCCAAGGTCTGTAGATGGTTAGGTTAGCTGTATATTCTCAAAATATGTCATTTACGGACCTTGATAATGGCCAGTATTTTAAACATTTGGTGTAATTGTTTTCATTGTTTTGTTTTTTTTTATTCGTCACAGACTACTTGATTAAAATACAAAAACCGTTAATATAACTGGTATCTTATTTTCAATCTTATGTTATGATGACTCGTTGAAAAGAGAATAAAAATCTATCAAGTAATCTAAAAATCCAATATGGCGCCCATTTAACTTTAGGAAGTTGGTAAATGTTCCTCAAAAGTGGCCATCTTAAATTTTTTGACATCACTTCTAAATTAAGCGTATCAAAGACAGTCACTTTTATATAAAACTTACTTTCTCTCTCTTATACTTTCGATGATATAAGACATTCAAGGAAATGACCAATTTTAGTTTTTTTGAATTTACGTCGAACGTATGTGACATTTTGAATTTCCATAAGGAAATTTTAAATAAGCATCCAAAACTACAAAACAATGCCCATTAACCAATTCTCTATCTTTAATAATAACAAAGTTACCCATGCAATATATATATATATATATATATATATATATATATATATATATATATATA